GCAGTTGTGTCACACAATGCAACATATGTCTCAAGTTTTGAGGGAGCGTGCAATTGGCTTGCTGACTGCAGGAATGTCCACCAGAGCTGTTGCCAGAGAAATTTATGTTCATTTCTCTACCATAAGCCGCCTTCAATGTTGTTTTAGAGAATTTGGCAATACGTCCAACCGGCCTCACAACCGCAGACCACGTGTAACCACACCAGCCCAGGACCTCCACATCTGGCTTCTTCACCTGCGGGATCGTCTGAGAAACTGTGGGTTAGCACAACCAAATAATTTCTGCACAAACTGTCAGAAACCATCTCAGGGAAGCTCATCTGCGTGCACGTCATCCTCACCAGGGTTTTGACCTGACTGCAGTTCGCAGTTGTAACCGACTTCAGTGGGCAAATGCTCACCTTTGATGGCCACTGGCACTCTGAAAAAGTGTGCTCTTCACAGATGAACCCCGATTTCAATTGTACCGGGCAGATGGCAGACAGTGTGTATGGTGTCGTGTGGGTGAGCGGTTTGCTGATTTCAACGTTGTTAACCACCCCATGGTGGCGGTGGGGTTATGGTATGGGCAGGCATAAGCTACGAACAACAAACACAATGGCAATTTGATTGCACAAAACATACCGTGACGAGATCCTGAGGCCCATTGATGTGCCATTCATCCGCCGCCATCACCGCATGTTTAAGCCTGAAAATGCACGGCCTAATGTCAGAAGGATCTGTACACAATTCCTGGAAGCTGAAAAAGCCCCAGTTCTTCCATGGCCTGCATACTCAAACGTCTCCCACTGAGCATGTTTGGGATGCTCTGGATCGACATGTACGACTGCGTGTTCCAGTTCCCACCAATATCCAGAAACATTGTACAGCCATTGAAGAGGAGTGGGACAACATTCCACTGGCCACAATCAACAACCTGATCAACTCTATGCGAAGGAGATGGGTCGCGCTGCATGAGGTAAATGGTTGTCACCAGATACTGACTGGTTTTCTAATCCACGCCCCTGCATATCTGTATTCCCAGTCATGTGAAATCCATAGATTAGGGCCTATTGAATTTATTTCAATTGACTTATGTCCTTTTATTTGTATTTATTATGGATCCCCATTAGCTGCTGCCAAGGCAGCAGCTACTCTTCCTGGGGTCCAGCAAAATTAAGGCAGTTATACAATTTTAAAAACATTACAATACATTCACAACATTAAGTGTGTGCCCTCAGGCCCCTAGTCTACTACCACATATCTAAAACACCAAATCCATGTGTAAGTGTGTGTATAGTGCGTATGTTATTGTGTGTTTGTATGCATGTGTCAGTGCCTATGTTTGTGTTGCTTCACAGTCCCCACTGTTCCATAAGGTGTATTTATGTTTTTTTAAATATATTCTTACTGCTTGCATGAGTTACTTGATGTGGAATACAGTTCCATGTAGTCATGGCTCTATGTGGTACTGTTCGCCTCCCATAGTCTGTTCTGGACTTGGGACTGTGAAGAGACCTCTGGTGACATGTCTTGTGGGGTATGCATGGGTGTCCAAGCTGTGTGCCAGTAGTTCAAACAGGTAGCTCGGTGCATTCAACATGTCAGTACCTCTCACAAATACAAGTTGTGATGAAGTCAATCTCTCCTCCACTTTGAGCCAGGAGAGATTGACATGCATATTATTAAATGTTAGCTCTCTGTGTACATCCAAGGGCCAGCAGTGCTGCACTGTTCTGAGCCACTTGAAATTTTCCTAAGTCCCTCTTTGTGGCACCTGACCACACGACTGAACAGTAGTCCAGGTGTGACAAAACTAGGGCCTGTAGGACCTGCCTTGTTGATAGTGCTGTTAAGAAGGCAGAGCAGTGCTTTATTATGGACAGACTTCTCCCCATCCTAGCTACTAATATATCAATATGTTTTGACCATGAATTTACAATCCAGGGTTACGCAAAGCAGTTCAGTCACCTCAGTTTGCTCAATTTCCAGATGATTCATTACAAGATTTAGTTGAGGTTTAGGGTTTAGAGAATGATTTGTCACAAATACAATGCTTTTAGTTTGAAATATGTAGGACTAACTTATTCCTTTCCACCCGTTCTGAAACTAACTCCAGCTCTTTGTTAAGTCTTAGTCATTTCAGTCACTGTAGTAGCTGACGTGTATAGTGTTGAGTCAGCTAGACACACTCAAAGCCAGTGGCATGTCGTTAGTAAAAAGATTGAAAAAAGTAAGGGGCCTAGACAGCTGCCCTGGGGAATTCCTGATTCCACCTGGATTATGTTGGAGAAGCTTCCATTAAAGAACTCCCTCTGTGTTCTGTTAGATAGGTAACTCTTTATCCACAATATAGCAGAGGCTGTAAAGCCATTACACATACGTTTTTCCAGCAACAGACTATGATCGATAATGTCAAAAGCCGTACTGAAGTCTAACAAAACAGCCACAACAATCTTTTTATCATCAATTTCTATCAGCCAATCATCAGTCACTTGTGTAAGTGCTGTGCTTGTTGAATGTCCTTCCCTGTAAGCGTACTGAAAGTCTGGTCAATTTGTTTACTGTAAAATAGCATTGTGTCTGGTCAAACACCATTTTTTCCAAAAGTTTACTAAGGGTTGGTAACAGGCTGATTGGTTGGCTATTTGAGCCAATAAAGGGGGCTTTACTATTCTTCGGAAGGGGAATAACTTTTGCTTCCCTCCAGGCCTGAGAGCATACACTTTACAGAAGGTTTACATTGAAGATATGGAAAATAGGAGTGGCAATATTGTCCGCTATTATAATCAGTAATTTCCATCCAAGTTGTCAGACCCCGGTGGCTTGTCATTGTTGATAGACAAAAATAACTTTTATGAACTCAGTAAAATCTTAGAAGTTGTTGCATGTTATTTTTATATTTTTGTTCAGTGAAAGTTTCACTACCAAGACTTAACCAAAATGGATCCCCATTCCCAAATCCTAAATGTATCACCCTCCCCTTTGTATAGCTGAAATGTATTAATTAAGTATACATAAAGTCTTACAAAACTGAGAACAAAATAAACAATGAATAAAGCGATTGAATGCATTCTGCTGCTAAAAACCTATAAAACCTGTAGGCTGTGACAACTGCTTATCCTTGCAGCGTTATATGCATTCACTTCGTCAAATATATGTATACAGTTGAAGTCGGAGGTTTACGTACACCTTAGCCAAATACATTTAAACTCAGTTTTTCACAATTCCTGACTTTTAATCCTAATACAAATTCCCTGTCTTAGGTCAGTTAGGATCACCACTTTATTTTAAGAATGTGAAATGTCAGAATAATAGTAGAGCGAATGATTTATTTAAGCTTTTATTTCTTTCATCACATTCCCAGTGGGTCAGAAGTTTACATACACTCAATTAGTAATTGGTAGCATTGCCTTTAAATTGTTTAACTTGGGTAAATGTTTCGGGTAGCCTTCCACAAGCTTCCCACAATAAGTTGGGTGAATTCTGGCCCATTCCTCCTGACAGAGCTGGTGTATCTGAGTCAGGTTTGTAGGCCTTGCTCGCACATGCTTTTTCAGTTCTGCCCACAAATTGTCTATAGGATTGAGGTCAGGGCTTTGTGATGGCCACTCCAATACCTTGACTTTGTTGTCCTTAAGCCATTTTGCCACAACTTTGGAAGTATGCTTGGGGTCATTGTCCATTTGGAAGACCCATTTGCGACCAAGCTTTAACTTCCTGACTGATGTCTTGAAATGTTGCTTCAATATATCCACATCATTTTCCTTCCTCATGATGCCATCAATTTTGTGAAGTGCACCAGTCCCACCTGCATCAAAACACCCCCACAGCATGATGCTGCCACCCCTGTGCTTCACGGTTGGGATGGTGTTCTTCGGCTTGCAAGCATCCCCCAGTTTCCTCCAAACATAACGATGGCCAAACAGTTCTATTTTTGTTTCATCAGACCAGAGGACATTTCTCCAAAAAGTATGATCTTTGTCCCCATGTGCAGTTGCAAACTGTAGTCTGGCTTTTTTATGGCGGTTTTGGAGCAGTGGCTTCTTCCTTGCTGAGCGGCCTTTCAGGTTCTGTCGATATAGGACTCGTTTTACTGTGGATATAGATACTTTTGTACCTGTTTCCTCCAGCATCTTCACAAGGTCCTTTGCTGCTGTTCTGGGATTAATTTGCACTTTTTGCACCAAAGTACGTTCATCTCTAGGAGACAGAACGCGTCTCCTTCCTGAGCGGTATGACGGCTGCGTGGTGCCATGGTGTTTATACTTGCGTACTATTGTTTGTACAGATGAACGTGGTACCTTCAGGCGTTTGGAAATTGCTCCTAAGGATGAACCAGACTTGTGGAGGTCTACAATTTCTCTGAGGTCTTGGCTGATTTCTTTTGATTTTCCCATGATGTCAAGCAAAGAGGCACTGAGTTTGAAGGTAGGCCTTGAAATACAGCCACAGGTACACCTCCAATTGACTCAAATGATGTCAATTAGCCTATCAGAAGCTTCTAAAGCCATGACATCAATTTCTGGAATTTTCCAAGCTGTTTAAAGGCACAGTCAACTCAGTGTATGTAAACTTCTGACCCACTGGAATTGTGATACAGTGAATTATAAGTGAAATAATATGTCTGTAAGCAATTGTTGGAAAAATTACTTGTCATGCACAAAGTAGATATAGATGTCCTAACCGACTTGCCAAAACTATAGTTTGTTAACAAGAAATGTGTGTAGTGGTTGAAAAACGAGTTTTAAAGTCTCCAACCTAAGTGTATGCAAACTTCCGACTTCAACTGTATGTAGATATATACACACAAAGTCATGAGCAAAAACCTTTTAAAAGTCGTAATTTTATTGTTTCATTTTAGCGCCAAGGGCCTTTAGATGACGATCCGAGAAAATAAGGATAAAGGGAGAAAAATCTCATCAGGTTTTTTTGTCTTTTTTGTTGTTGTTGATGGTATTGAATTCAGGTGTGGTGGTAACATCCCTTACCCCCGGAGTTGGGGGTTGGGGGTGTCACTAGAGGAAACGTCCCTGGCCTTGCTTCTCTCTCATCCATGCCTGGATCCTCCCCTTCAGTTCAGGGACTGTGAATAAAGACACAATGACACAGCAAAACGTGACCACAACCCCCTGGGGACCTTAACAGTTAATAAGGTATGCTAGTAGGACATGTTGCCTAAAAGAAAATGGAAAATAAACAAAGACTTAAATTGCAGTTATCGAGTGCTGGTCCCCTTTTTTCTTTATGTGACCAACTGTTGACTGGAAGACCATGCTGTGTGTGTGTGTGTGTACATACGTGACTCCAGCATGCTTTCGTTGAGAGGCTGTCTGTTAAAGGGGTCAGTGGAGGAGTTGAGAAGGTGGCGGAGGATGATGGCTCGGTCCATGATGTTCCCAGAGGGCAGTATCACAGGGTCAGTCATTAGGGTGTCCATCAGAGGGTCTGTGGACACACACATACACAGACAAACAAAGATAAAATTACATTTTATCTTCAATTAAAATGAAATTCATAAAATCTAAATATACTTTCCTCTCTTCAGACATTGTTATTAAGTTCTCTGCAATTATTTTTGCATGCATGTGTCTATGCTCAAATCAAAGCACAGACTTCAGAAACGTATGCAAAGAAATCTTGATTAAGATAATGTAATTAATTATCTTTAAATTAAAAGTTGTGTCCTTTATTGAAATGTCGAGAGGTGGCTGTACTGTGGTAGAGGGTTTTATATGTTACACGTTTTATGTTACATGTGAGGACTCAATCGCGATTTATGGCATTGTCTGGATGGCTGACCATATGTTCGCTATCACAAAAGTCAAACACACCTTATCCGTGGCGGGACGTTCCCTGGGAGCACGGACACCGACGGTGGTGTGAAGACAGATGAAAACTTGAATAGACTAAATTAATGTTACTGTGTGAATTAAATTGTCGTGTTTGGATTGTTTCAAGAGTTCATAACCAGCTGTGAATTTTGACAGGTTTTCTTATATTGTAAGTGCTATAGATGTATTTTTACCGAGTTACTGTCTTAATCTGTTTGTCGGACGGCGGTCAGTTCAAAGAGGGAGCGACACAGATGTCCTATCATTTAGATAATTGAGGTTGAAGAATGCGTGTGGTGCTTTTATGCCTTTTGTTTATTGTTTTGGCCAAACAAAGTGATTAGAATTAGACGATGGGAGATACTGAGATTTGGCGCTCTGGGAAGAATAAAAGATGGGTGGAAACTTTGCACATGGAGCCATTGTAAACCACTCTCCTGGTGTAGTGTTCCGTTACACAATAGTGTATTTTATACTTTGAGATATTTTGTATCTTTTGACATTGAATACTTCTGGTACGTACCATTTGATAATAGTATTCTTATTACATAACTGTAATACATCTGATTACTTTGAAATGGATACAAACAGTATATTTCTGAGTAATATTCCTTGAATTATTATTCGATGTATGGTCTAATGGTAAATGTTATTCACATTACACATAGCATATACAGTGCATTCGGACAGTATTCAGACCACTTCCCTTTTTTTTATGTTACAGCCTTATTTTAAAATTGATTAAATAATTGTTTTCCTTCATCAATCTACACACAATACCCCATTTAGACATTCTGAAAATGCATAAAAAATACAACAGAAATACCTTATTTACATAAGTATTCAGACCCCTTGCTATGAGACTCAAAATTGAGCTCAGGTGCATCCTGTTTCCATTGATCATCCTTGAGACGTTTCTACAACTTCATTGGAGTCCACCTGTGGTAAATTCAATTGATTGGACATGATTTGGAAAGGCACACACCTGTCTATATAAGGTCCCACAGTTGACCGTGCTTGTCAGAGCAAAAACCAAGCCATGAAGGAATTGTCTGTAGAGCTCCGAGACAGGATTGTGTCGAGGCACAGATCTGGGGAAGGGTACCAAAAAATGTCTGCAGCATTGAAGGTCCCCAAGAACACCTCCCGAGTGGCGCAGTGGTCTAAGGCACTGCATCGCAGTGCTAGCTGTGCCACTAGAGATCCTGGTTTGTATCCAGGCTCTGTCGTAGACCCATAGGGCGGCGCATAATTGGCCCTGCGCGTCCAGGGTAGGGGAGGGAATGGTCGGCAGGGATGTAGCTCAGTTGGTAGAGCATGGCATTTGCAACACCAGGGTTGTGGGTTCATTTCCTACAGGGGGCCAGTATAAATAATAATGTATGCACTCACTAACTGTAAGTCGCTCTGGATAAGAGCGTCTGCTAAATGACTAAAATGTAAATGTAAACACAGTGGCCTCCATCATTCTTAAATGGAAGAAGTTTGGAACAATCAAGACTCTTCCTAGAGCTGGCCGCCCAGCCAAACTGAGCAATCGGGAAGAAGGGCCGTGGTCAGGGATGTGACCAAGAACCCGATGGTCACTCTGACAGAGCTCCAGAGTTCCTCTGTGGAGATGGGAGAACCTTCCAGAAGGACAACCATCTCTGCAGCACTCCACCAATCAGGCCTTTATGGTAGAGTGGCCAGGTGGAAGCCACTCCTCAGTAAAAGGCACATGACAGCCTGCTTGGTGTTTGCCAAAAGGCAACTAAAGGACGCTGTCTGTGTGACCCTCATTACTCACAAAATGTCTGGAATTTTACCACGATAGAGGGTCTTCCTTTTACGTCCCAATCGAACTGATTGAAGTCAGCTCTTTTGACCCAAGTCCTGGTCTTACTCATTATGAAAAAATCCTACGGACGTTCAGAACATTGCAGATAGATACGTAATGTACAGAACAGACACGGTGCTGTAGTAGGCCTAATGTGGAATAGAGGACTGTGCCAAATCTTACTGCGACGTTGCATCCAAATGAACATGCCACTGCGGTCAAGGGCAATTAGTAACTCAAAATAAAAATATATTTTTGAAGTTCCAAAACTTGCCAGTTTGAACACTAGAAAGTGATTTTAAACACTTTCGAGTTTGAACACTGGAAAGGTTGAACACTTGCCTTTAAACTCATCAGGTGCGTCACTGTAGTCCATTTCGGACTGAGAGTTCCTGGCGACTATCTCCTCCACCTTCTCCGATAGCAGCTTGAATTTTTCAATGGCGATGGTGGACTTGATGCCGGCTTTCTTCATCTTGGAAATCACTTCCTCAAAGAGCTCTCGGCTGTATGACCGCTGGAAAGGGGAGAGAAAGAACACCATGTAAGCCTTAGGAGTATTCATTACTGCACACCATAGCAAAACGTTCTGCAACAGTAGATCCCTCCCCGCATTTTGGATTTGAGATCAAATGTTTTATTCAAGGCGACAGTACAGAATGTCACCTTTTATTTCAGGGTATTTTCATACATATCTGTTTTACCATTTAGAAATGAAAGCACTTTGTGTATCTAGTTCCCCCCCCAGGTGAATAAGTCATAAGTATTTGGACAAATTCACTTACTGTATTAAAGTAGTCAAAAGATTAGTATTTGGTCCCATATTCCTTGTTGTGACTACAAACTCGGATGCATTTGCAGTTTATTTTGGGTTATGTTTTGCCCAATAGTAACTGAACGGTGAGTAATTGAGTAGATAAGATATTTCTGAACTCTTCAAATTAATCCTGATAACACCATGATTAAGAAAAATCATGAATAATGAGTGAGATGCCGTTCAGAGGCTACAACAAAACACACTAACCTCTCACTATTAGCAATAACAGGGGAGAAGTTACATTTTTTGGGGGGTATGATCTTTGTGCCTCTAACTTTCTCACTCATCATTATCCACAATGTGTTCAGAAATATATTCTATTCCTTCTTACAATAAAAGTGAATCCAAAATGGCACAATACATTACTCACCATTCAGTTCCTATTGGGCAAAACACAACCAAAACAAACCGTAAATGTATCCAACAAGTTTGTAGTCACAAGCTTGATGTAGTCATTGCATGCAAGGTATATGAGACCAAATACTAAACTTTTGACTACTTTAATACAATATAAGTGAATTTGTCCAAATACAAATGAAGAGTGGTTCCATGTAATTTCAGAAAGCCATGGTACTGGTACTTTAAAACTAATTTATGAACATCTCTGATTGTTTCTAACAACAGAAACGATTTCCGAACAGATAACATTAGCTTTCCTGTAACACTATTTTGTTGAAATGAAATCTATGAGAAAATAAGATAATTGATTGCACCCAAATTGGCCCTTTTTAATTTGTGGGATTCACATAATATTCAATAAATATAGTACCCAACATCCTACCATTGAGTAAGCCGTGGAATACAATAAAATGGTCAAAAGCCACCCACGGACCCCCACACCAATCACACCCCAATAACCGGTATACAGTATCAGTTCTCCATGTCTGACAAGTAGTATGGAGCTGCGTCTTTAAGTATTGCTTCTTCATCCTATGTAATGTATTCCCTTGTGTATCTGGTGATGTTTTTTTCCGCCTGTTCAGAGGAAATAGCCATTGAAGTTGCTTGCATTATTTACCATAAATTAGTGTTAAGTACCAGGTTTTGCCTACTAACAAGATGCCGATGTTCCTGCTACTGCCATACACTTTTATCAATTTTGCTGGTCTAGTGTTTATTAAATGGATCACAACATGTTCTTTGCAACTTTGGGTCGAAAACCAATAGCTTTTTCTCATGATGAAAATACATTTTGTGGTCATCCTCACAAGTCAAGCCAGTCCTCTATGAAAGCAATTCAGTTTGTCCGTCTCCTAAGCCGGGTGTACATTACACAATTTTGGCAATTTAGCAGTGCCAGACAAGTTTTTGAGATGGGAGACAAAATCCCTGTCTTTGCCTACTAGGGGCGCGCGGCCTTCACAGACGCTCGTTTAATGTGAGTGGGTCAGAGACGCAAACTGAGGGCTACTGATCTCATCTTTGAGCAGTCCCAGACTTTCCCAATATTTTCAAACATTTGATTTTATCGGCACAAAATCTGCAATGCTCTTGTAGTGTGCAACAACAAGTTTTGAGAATGGTGATCAGCAGTAACCAATGAGAGCTCACCAGAGAAGAAGCCAGTGAGATTAAGTTGTTTCGCGTCACCCAGAATGTGTAGACTCTCAAGCAGGAGCGATGACTAGGCCTACTACTAGTATGCGTTTGTACTTGCCAAAGTCTCAAGTCCTTACAGCTCTGACGTTCACAAGTAATGTTATTCAATTAAAAATGCTGGCTAGATATTTCAACTCTGTACGGCAAGTGTGAATGTCTTACTGAAAACGTTTATGAGGCAGCTTTGAGCCACAGCTCGTTGTAGCTACGTAAAATTTTATCACATCATTGTTTTTGCGAGACAGCGTGGTATCAAGAATCCTCACGACCAAGTGAAGAATCTTGTAGTGTGTGACCCCTGTCTGTGCTACATCATCTAGTGTGAGCAACACTACGTTGGCAAGACAAAAAAAAACTACAGAAAAGATGGTCTTTAATGTGAGAGGCTCAGCGATTTAAGGATTTTTAATTTTGTGTATTGTACATCCGGCTTTAGCAACCTAATGCAACCTAGTCCAACAAATGGCAGCTTTCTGAGAAAACTATCCCTATAGTGCAATTATCATACAAGCCGAAAACATTGATGGAGAAATGGGCTAGTGAATAAAATGTTGTGCCAACCGCTAATAAAATAATACAATTATATATAGGGATGTTAACGGTTAACCGTTAAAAGGTTAGCCATCAAATATTTGACCGGTCATGCTTATTGGTCTATAGGTTCATTTGAATAATTTAGTGGAATTAAATTGGCACGTGTGTATTTTCGCACAGCATACAGAGTCTAGTTTGAGGAGCGAAATAACCTATCAACTGTCAGACCGCGTGAGAGCACCTCCTCAAAAAGCTGGTACTGGAGTAAAACGTGCTTTTATAAACCCAGTCATTGCGCAACAAATAACCATTCTAAATGCAAACTAATGTCAAACATTGTTGGGGGAAGGCCACGATTTAAAAATAGCTAGTATTATTGGTTCTCAATCTCAACTCGTAATTCAAGCATGCCTCTCGAGTGCATAGGCTATAGTCAACGGTAGGCAGGCTAACAGCACATCACCCACCACTTTGCAACGTGAGCTTGAGGCAGTATAATTGTTTGATACCTGAACGTTTTACTTTACTTCAAATAATGACTCATGTCTTACTTTGCTTCAAAGTAGCCTAGCGAAAATCTAACCATAGAAACGCGGAGGCAATTTTTCTATAGACTTCCTCATGCCATTAACCATTTTTCTACTGTTTCTATTGGTTTTCATATCAACTTTCTTTAGTTGTCCAGAAGACAAGGGCACAATCCTAGTCATATTAGCAACCCATCCTAGTTGTTGCTATTAGATTCCCCATCTTTCTAAGTTCTAATGGAGATTTTCATCTCTCATATATGGAACCACGCGCTGTGGTCTGTTTAGAACTGTGTTTTCCCGCGAATTGCCTTTTGGTAAATGTTTGAAATTTACATTTTATTAGCTGCTTCATTACAGGACTTGCATGTTCAATAATAGGCTATATCATTTTGACTGTAAGATGATAGGCTTGCTATTGTTGCATGTTTCCATTAAGCTCTTAATTAAAAATGTAAGTTCCTTGTATGCATGGATAGTAAGCCATTTTCTGTTCGTCACATCATTTTACAGTTTGGATGCATTTTTTAAAAATGTTTGAGGGTCGGTTAGTCGGCAGCAAATTGACCGACATTTTCATCCCTAATTATATATTGCAATGGCATGGCAGTAATGTTTATCAATAAAACTATTCGAAAACATATCTATATGTAGTGTGATTAGTGACATTTACCATTAAACCCAATACCATTACAAAACACTATACTGTGTGTGTGTTTGGGACTTTTACCATTATTAAAGACCATAATATTGAAACCATTAGAACTACTGTAGCCTAATGGCTTGCTTTTTCGCCAGGAATGGTCTAACTAATCCAGAACTTTTTTGAAAGGAATAAACCACACACAGATGGGCCGTTTCCTGGAGACAAAGTTTAAAAGAAAATGTTGTGATCCATTTTAAACACGAGAGACCAACAAAATGGTTAAAAGGGTGTGGCAGTAGCTGGAACAGAGGCATTTAGTGGGCAAAACCTGGTACTTAACATTCATTTATGGTAAATAATGCAATCAACTTCAATGGCAAATTTCTCTGAACAGGGGGGAAGAAATGTCACCAGACGCAGAGGGAATACATTTCATAGGATGAAGAAGCAATACTCCAAGCCTCCATACTACTTGTCAGACAGAGAACGGTTACAGTATACTGGTTGTTGGGTTGGGGTATCCGTGGGAGGCCTTTGATCATTTTATTGGATTCCTCATATCTTACTCATTGTTAGGAAGAATTATGGTCCAAATCGGATGTTAGGTACTATATTTATTGAACATTATATGAATCCTATAAATTAAAAAAGGGCTAATTTGGGTGCAATCAATTAGCTTAATTTCTCAGATCAAATTACATTTAAACAAAATAATGTTTCAGGAATGTTAATCTTATCTCTTTCTAACTACAGAAACTATTTCAGAACAATCTGAGATGGGTGTCGAAATCCTCTGTGTTTTTTGAGGTGCAACGACCCTTGGGGGACTATATACAGTGCCTTTGGAAAGTATTCATAACCCTTGACTTATTCCACATTTTGTTGTGTTACAGCCCAAATTCAAAATGGATTAAATATATTTTCTCACCCATCTACACACAATAACCCCATAATGACAAAGTGAAAACATGTTTTTAGAAATGTTTGCAAATGTATTGATAATTAAATACACAAATATCTCATTTACATAAGTATTCACACCCCTGAGTCAATACTTTGTAGAAGCACCTTTGGCAGCGATTATAGCTTTCTAGGTAAGTCTCTAAGAGCTTTCCACACCTGGATTGTGCAATATTTGCCCATTATTCTTACAAAAATTATTCAAGCTCTTTCAAATCAGTTGTTGATCATTGCTAGACAACCATTTTCAGGTTTTGACAGATTTTCAAGTAGATTTAAGTCAAAACTGTAACTCGGACACTCAGGAACATTCACTGTCATCTTGGTAAGCAACTCCAGTATAGATTTAGCCTTGTGTTTTAGGTTATTGTCCTGCTGAAAGGTGAATTAATCTTCCAGTGTCTGGTGGAAAGCAGACTGAACCAGGTTTTCCTCTAGGATTTTGCTTCATTCCATTTCTTTTCAACCTGAAAAACTCCCCAGTCCTTAACGATTACAAGCATACCCATAACATGATGCATCCACCACTATGCATGAAAATATGGAGAGTGGTACTCAGTAATGTGTTGTATTGGATTTACCCCAAACATAACACTTTGTATTCAGGACAAAAAGTAAATTGCATTGCCACATTTTTTTGCAGTATTACTTTAGCGCCAAGTCGCATGTTTTGGAATGTTTTTTATTCTGTACAGGCTTCTTTCTTTTCAATCTGTCAATTAGGTTAGTATTGTGGAGTAACTACAATGATGTTGATCCATCCTCAATTTTCTTCTATCACAGCCATTAAACTCTTTAACTGTTTTAAAATCACCATTGGCCTCACGGTGAAATCCCTGAGCGGTTTCCTTCCTCTTCGGCAACGGAGTTAGGAAGGACGCCTGTATGTTTGTAGTGACTGGGTGTATGGATACACCATCCAAAGTGTAATTAATAACTTCACCATGCTCAAAGGGATATTCAATGTCTGGTTTTTACATTTTTTTACCCATCTACCAATAGGTGCCCTTCTTTGCGAGGCATTGGTAAACCTCCCTGGTCTTTGTGGTTGAATCTGTGTTTGAAATTCCCTGCTCGACTGAGGGACCTTACAGAAACTTGTATGTGTGGGGTACAGAGATGAGGTAGTCATTAAAAAATCTTGTTAAACACTATTATTGCACACAGAGTGAGTCCATGCAACTGACTTGTTAAGCACATTTTTACTCCTGAACTTATTTATGCTAGCCATAACAAAGGGGTTGAATACTGTACATATTGGCTCAAGACATTTCAGCTGTTCATTTTTATTTTAATTTGTAAACATTTCTAAAAATATAATTCCACTTTGACATTATAGGGTATTGTGTTTAGGCAAGTGACAAAACATCTCAATTTAATCCATTTTAAATTCAGACTAACATAACAAAATGTGGAATAAGTCAAGGAGTATGAATACTTTCTGAAGGCAAAGTGCTTTAATTTCTAAAGGGTAAAAACAGATGTATATGAAAATACCCTCAAATAAAATATGATATTCTGTACTGTCGCCTAATATGAATATCTCAAATCTAAAATGCTGTACAGTGCCTTTAGAGAGTATTCATACCCCTTGACTTATTCCACATTATGTTGTGTTACAGCCTGAATTCAAAATGTATTACATATATATTTGTTTACCCATACACACACACACACACACACACACACACACAATAACCCATAAAGACAAAGTGAAAACATGTTTTTAGAAATGTAAGCAAATTTATTGAAAATGAAATACAGAAATCTAATTTACATAAGTATTCACACCCCTTTGCTATGACACTACAAATTGGGCTCAAGTGGATCCAATTTCCGTTGATCATCCTTGATATGTCACTACAACATGATTGGAGTCCACCTGTGGCCAATTCAATTGTCTGGACATGATTTAGAAAGAAACACACCTGTCTATACAAGCTCCCACAGTTGACAGTGCATGTCAGAGCAGAAACGACCATGAAGTCCAAGGAACTGTCCGTAGATCTCAGAGAATTGTGATGAAGCATTTACAGTGCATTCGGAAAGTAGACCTTGACTTTTTCCACATTTTGTTACGTTACAGCCTTATTCTAAAATTGATTAAATTGTTTTTTCCCTCATCAATCTACACACAATACCCCATAATGACAAAGCAAAAACAGGTTTAGACATTTTTGCAAATGTATAAAATAAAATAAACTGAAATCTCACATTGACATTATTATTCAGACCCTTTACTCAGTACTTTGTTGCAGCACCTTTGGCAGTGATTACAGCCTTGAGTCTTCTTGGGTATGACGCTACAAGCTTGGAACACCTGAATTTGGGGAGTTTCTCCCATTCCTCTCTGCAGATCCTCTCTAGCTCTGTCAGGTTGGATGGGGAATGTTGCTGCACAGCTATTTTCAGGTCTCTCCAGAGATGTTCGACTGGGTTCAAGTCCGGACTCTGGCTGAGCCACTCAATGACATTCAGAGACTTGTCCAGAAGCCACTCCTGTGTTGTCTTGGCTGTGTTCTTATGGTTGTTGTCCTGTTGGAAGGTGAACCTTTGCCCCAGTCTGAGATCCTGGGTGCTCTGGAGCAGGTTTTCATCAAGGATCTCTCTGTACTTTGCGCCATTCAACTTTCCCTTGATCCTGACTAGTCTCCCAGTCCCTGCCACTGAAATATATCCCCACAGCATGATGCTGCCACCACCATACTTTACCGTAGGGATGGTGCCAGGTTTCCTCCAGACGTGATGCTTGGCATTCAGGCCAAAGAGTTAAATCTTGGTTTTATCAGACCAGATAATCTTGTCCTTTAGGTGCCTTTTGGCATACTCCAAGCGGGCTGTCATGTGCCTTTTACTGAGGAGTGGCTTCTGTCTGGCCACTCTACCATAAAGGCCTGATTGGTGGAGTGCTGCAGAGATGGTTGTCCTTCTGAAAGTTTCTCCCATCTCCACAGAGGAACTCAAGAGCTCTGTCAGAGTGACCATAGGGTTCTGGGTCACCTCCCTGACCAAGGCCTTTCTCCCCCGATTGCTCAGTTTGGCTGGGCGGCCAGCTCTAGGAAGAGTCTCGGTGGTTCCAAACTTTTTCCATTTAAGAATGATGGAGGCCACTGTGTTCTCTGGGACCTTCAATGCTGAAGAAATGTGCCTCGACACAGTCCGGTCTCAGAGCTCTACGGACAATTCCTTCGACCTCATGGCTTGGTTTTTGCTCTGACATGCACGGTCAACTGTGGGTCCTTATATAGACAGGTGTGTGCCTTTCCAAATCATGTCCAATCAATTGAATTTACCACAGTTGGACTCCAATCAAGTTGTAGAAACATCTCAAGGATGATCAATGGAGCAGGATGCACCTGAGCTCAATTTTGAGTCGCATAGCAAAGGGTCTGAATCCCTATGTAAATAAGGTATCTGTTGTTGTTTTTTAAATACATTTGCAAAAACTTTTCGCTTTGTCATTATGGGGTATTGTGTGTAGATTACTGAGGATTTTTATTTATTCAATCCATTTTAGAATAAGGTTGTAACGTAACAAAATGTGGAAAAAGTGAAGGGGGTCTGAATACTTTCCGATGGCACTGTACTGTATCTGGGGAAGGGTCTAAAACAATTTCTAGAGTGTTGGAAGTTTCCAAGAGCACAGTGGTCTCCATCATTGGGAAATTAAAAAAAATATGGAACAACCCAGAGTCTACCTAGAGCTGGCCGTCCGACCAAACTGAGCAACCGGGCATGAAGGACCTTGGTCAGGGAGGTGACCAAGAACCCAATGACGACTCTGACAGAACTACAGAGTTAATTGGCTGAGATAGGAGAACCTGCCAGGAGGACTACAGTCTCTAAAGCACTTCACCAATCAGGGCTTCATGGGACTGTAGAACTGCTTTTACTTCTTGATTCCCTGCTATGTGTACACAATATTCAGTTAGGCTGCAGTAAGGTCTTTCCTGCGGAGTTATTTTAATGTATAAAGATCTTTATTTAGCAGGGGTTTAGATTAGTTGAGATTAATGTATTCGTCATACATTTTAAATATTTCTGGTCATACATCAGTAAACAAAGTTATACAGTATAGAAAATACATACAGTAGAGCAGGGTTCTTCAATTCCGGTCCTGGAGGGCCGAAACACTTCTGTTTTTTATTTCTACCTGGTAGTTAATTGCACTCACCTGGTGTCCTAGTGTGAATTAGCCCCTGATTAGAAGGAGAGGATGAAAAACAGAGGTGTTTCGGCCCTCCAGGACCGGAATTGAAGAACCCTGCAGTAGAGCATGCATACAAACATTTAATGGAGCCTACTTCTACTCAGACATGGGTTCATACTTGCCAGATGGGCGGGGTTTGCAGTTTTGGGACTTTTCTATTGATTTATTAAGTCAGGCGAGCTCAAACAAGCACAAATAAAGTATTTGAAACCCAGGTATGCGACTACTACAGTTTACCTGGTCGTCGGCGATGGCCTTGGCGAAGCGGGCACAGTCAAGTTGCAGGTAAATGTCAGTAAGCTGGTCTAGGAGCTTCTTGGGCTCAAAACCGTACTTCTCTGGATTCTCCACCTTCAGGTCCCGGCACTTGGGCCCGCACAGCTGCTGGAGGTTAAAGTTCAGCATGGCCGCCAGACGAGGCCCCAACTCCTGGAACGCACAAAGCAGGAAGTTCAGTCACCAGGAAAAATATTTATTGTGTATCTACGTCCATGAATAGGAATGGTTTAAGGTTATTATTGAAGTAGGCTTTAAACAGTACAGGGCTTGACTTACAGGTAAATTTGCCAGTGGCACACCGGGCCAGTACCAAGTGAAAACTACTGGCCCGGGCCAAGATCACAGGAAAGCAAGTTACAGCGCCTTCAAAGACTTATTCCACATTTAGTTTTGTTACAGCCTGAATTCAAAATTGCAGAAATATTAATTTTTTTCCTAACCCATCTACACACAATACCCCATAATAACAAAGTGAAAACATGTTTCATTAATGTATTGAAAATGAAATACAGAAATCTCATTTACGTAAGTATTCACAACCCTGAGTTGTGTTAGAATCAATCACCTTTGGCAGCAATTACAGCTGTGAGTCTTTCTGGGCAAGTCTCTAAGAGCTTTGCACACCTGGATTGTACAATATTTGACATTCTTTTAAAAATTCTTCAAGTTCTGTCAAGTTGGTTGTTGATCATTGCTAGACAGCCATTTTCAAGTCTTGCTGTAGATTTTCAAGCCGATTTAAGTCAAAACTATAACTAGACCACTCAGGAACATTCAATGTCATTTTGGTGAGGAACTCCAGTGTAGATTAGATTATTGTCCTGCTGAAAGGTGAATTTGAAAGCTTGATTAACTGGCCGGTGAGCTCGGCAGATGTTGTCGAGCCCTGCAGTAATATGTTTTCACAGTGCCATCTGTCCCATGTATTTTGTGCTGCAGCACAGCAATGTTCTATTGTTGGGAGAAAAACAAAAAGGAGATGATTAACACCACTTAGTAAACGAAAAATGTAGAAAAATGAATGTTACGCCTTACTTTTCCCATCACGGCACTCTTGAAGAAAAGGGATGAAGGCACATACCAAGCCGAAACACATTGGCGTTTGTTTTTCAGGTTTTTTTTATTTTTCTACCGTAATGCCAAGACAATAAACGCTTTTTAAATCAATAAATTATTCCCTGCTTTTCTTCAAGAGTGCCTTGATGGGGAAAAGTAAACCGCACAATACATTTTTCTACATTTTCCGTTTACTAAGTGGTGGCCATCATCCCCTTTGTTTTTCTGCCAGTCATAGGCTACCCTTTTCAAAGAGGCCTTAAAATGTTTTATCCATTTGAGCGCACCAGCACATAGTTTTTTCTTCTGAATGTTCTATTGTTGTTGTTGGCTGCTGTGTGTGGCTATGTTGACAGCCAGTAAAAGTAATGTTAACCTCATCTTTGTCAAATACAACATTTGTAAACGGGGTGTTCTAACGCCCATCTCTCCCTTTGTAACCTGGAAACAGAGCATGATTCAAATGTGTATTTTTTCCTGGTCAGAGTGGTACTCACGGGCCGGAGGAAGGGCTTCTGGACCTGCTTGGTGAGGATGTGGAACATGTCGACCGTCTCTGTAGCCAGGGCCAGGTAGGAGCGCGACACCCGCTCATCCTGGGTCAACTGGGACTGGCGGCTCTGCTGCTGCTCCTGAGGGAGAAAGAGAGAAACACTCAGTGTTTCAGTCTTAACGCACTACAAAGGTGCTTCGTAACACATTCATAAGCACTTCACAACACGTTTGTTTTTTTCCCCAGGAATTCCGTACTGACCCTGGGAAGTTGATCCCACTGCTCCTTGTTTTTAACCTCCTCCTGGACCTCATGGATGCGCTTCAGGGACTCCAGGCTCTCGTCCAGCAGGAAGGTGGTGTCGTTGATCAGCATGTTGATGTAACGCACAAACTGCTTCCCGGAGCTACAGGGGAACAAACAGATGTATTGATTGACTGGGAGGCCTTTGGAAGCCAGTGGAAGCCACACAGAAAATTCACTATGAGTCTGAACTAGTTCTGAGTACATTTTACACGCAGCATACAGCATGACCGGACAGTGGCCACCTATTTAGACCAGGCTGTCACCATAATAGTAATTGTCATAAGATAAATACTAAGCTTTGACTCTAGCCCACTTACTTGAACTCTTCCAGGAAAGTGCCGTGGTGGCCCATGTTCTGCCAGAGGCTCTTGAAAATGGTGCTGATGTGGTAGCGGATGGTGAACTTGTCGTAGAACTCGCTGGTGGCACCGGTGTGCTCCACGTCTGTGGAAGGGAAGAGACACTCAAGAGTCAGTTGCCTGTGAGAATCAGTCCACTTGACTTCACTCTAATAGCATTTTCGAGCCAAGCCGAGCTGTACTACACATCCACTATAGTTGATGAAACCAAGACCAAGAAAATATCCAAGCCAGCACAGTACAGTTTATGTTGCCGCAGCAACTGAACCCCCCTGCACCAAGTGGTCTTACCAGTGTAGAACTTCATGAGGGCTGGGACCAACAGTTTGACGGACAGGGGGTGGTTCTCCATCATCTCAGAGAAGCGCTGGGTGCGCGGCTGCACGGCCGGGTTGGTGACAAACAGCACCTCCACCAGCTTGGCGATCAGGTAGGGGTTCCGGATGTAGTTCTGACTGCAGATGAACACCACCAGGAAGGTGACAATATCCTGGACGCAGGGCTCATACAGAACCTGAGGGGAATACCTGGCAGGGGATAGAAAATGGATGCTGACTGTCAGTCAAAAGCCATTTCTCAGAAGACGCATTATTTTACCTTTTATTTTTTTAAGGTAATTTCTATATGACCCCCATTCAAACATCCCCTTATTTAAAAATGTTCTGCAGGTATACCCTCGTTTATACATAATGTGTAACCAGCAATTTGGGAGGGGTGTTGTTAAACCCAATTCATCTTTCTTTGATTCCTCGCTTCCTCTCTGCTCACCACCTCCTCATAACGCATTGGAGGAGAAGGTCTGGGTGGAGGGACCTTTGAATTTCTCCTGCAATACTGTTTGAGAAGGTGCAGAGAGAGGATGCGAGGAAACGTGGGGAGACTAATTGAGAAAAAGTCAAACATTTACATTTTAGTCATTTAGCAGACGCTCTTATCCAGAGCGACTTACAGTTAGTGAGTGCATACATTTTCATACTGGCCCCCCGTGGGAATCGAACCCACAACCCTGGCGTTGCAAGCGCCATGCTCTACCAACTGAGCTACAGGAGGCCTTTAACAGAGACTTGTCCAGGGAGGAAGAGGAGGATGTCCCCCTCATGTATTTATTAATACAAGGAGAGAGAACGTCCGCTGCATGTCAGGGCCAGGCGTTTCTCTGGTCGGGTCACATGGTTAGGAAATCCTCCTGGCCCTACTCATATCACATCCCTTTGAAGATACCATTTTAGTACACAATTCTCCAATACATTTATAAAAGATGGACTGAAACATTTGCTTCATGTAAAACAGGGTAAATTGACAAGATCACTCTGGTGGTCTGTGGTATTTGTCTGGCCCTGCACTATGTAATAATTATGACCATCGATCAGTCGACTTACTGCACAACAAAAAGCAGGAACTCTGCCACATCTTCAATGTAAAACTCCGGCAAAGCAGCAAAGCTTTTGGGGATCTCCGGATTCAACGGTAGAGTCATGCTACAAAAAGGGAAAGAAGGAATATAAGGGAGCATTTTTGACCCTCTTAATGCAAGTCACACATCACAAACAATACAAACAATATTGTGGCCCTGGTGGCACAAAATAATCAAGGGTCTGACTGCACAGAGATGCTTGGGACATTTCTCACAACAGGGGACCAGCGTGTGTGTGTTTCATGGGAAGGGGGTGTATCTGCGCTCCATCAGCTAGGACTTGACATTGGTTAATAAAATTTCCCCATTCTTGCATACCTTCTCAAACAGCTGCAACTGTATATGCATTCGCAGATCAAGTCTTTTCTTGAGTTGGGCTCAGGGATGGAACAACTGTTGAACATTTGAGCTTGTGGTTGTTTGTGGGGTAAGGGTGGGGAGTGTGTATGAGTGTGTGTGTATGAATGTTTCCCAAATCTGTTGCTATGGGGTAATGATGAAAGGGACAATATAGTAATGGCAATCCTGGTTATAGGTAACAATCCTTCCAATGAACTGCCTACATTATTAAGCATATTGTTCGTTAATCTGGGATTTTTTTTAGATATGCAAAAAATATAGATTTTTTTAAATAACTGTAATATAATCGAGGTGAGGGCGTTGGAAATGCTTTTGGCGGTTGATCTGCTTCTGTTCTGTGGGTGGGACTGTGCTCTTTTTAAAGGATGGATCCCAATCTCTCAAAGGCCCTAGGATCCAGTGGGACAGGGGTGGTCTGCCAGTCACTTGGACGACAACTCAACTTTGGATGGGGGGAGGTTTTAGCGGGTGGAATAGTGGAGAACAATTGGAGGTTTACTTAGTAGCAGTGCAAATATCATGGTACAGCTATATGGACACTCAATCATTATGGTACTTTTTAATGGTAAGTTAACAAACATATATTATGATATATAGAATTCAAAGTTGTATCTTATTATAGTAAATGGTGAAATAAGTATAGCCAGTTATAATTGTAATGGCTTAGCAGATAATAAGAAAATACTATCAGTATTTACCTGGTTAAAAGAGGAATATCATATCTATTGTTTACAGGAAAGGGGGGGGGGGGGGGGGGCAAATATACTTCTCCCATGGGCAAAGAAACTCAAAAGGGGTGATGATATTAATTTTCATTTTGATCCGAATGTGCAAATTGTCCAAACAGATCCGCAAGGTAGATGGATTATTTTTGGACCATAAACAGATTTGGCTCATTAATGTATACGGTTAAAATAATGATAAGCCACGCTTCTTTGAAAATATAATAATTTATCAAGCCTACAAGCAATACAAGACTCTATTATTATGGTGGGAGATTATAATACCTCAATGGATCGTAAAGAAAATCACACTACGAACTATCACCCTCATGCACTTCAGGAAATCACGAATATCATGGATATATTGGAACTTGTGGATATATGGAGGCTTAAATATTCTGACCTAGTGAGATATACATGGCGGAGGCTCAATCAAGATAGTCGTCATGACAACTTTCTTATGTCATTCTCACTGCCACCAAAAGTAAAGAAAAGTGTTGATAGGGGACAGAATGCGGTCGGACCATCAAACATTATTCTAAGAGAATTCCCACGTGGGCGAGGATATTGGAAATGTAATCAAAGCCTATTGGATGATAACTTGTTTTTAACGAGGACAGAAGATTTTATAACTGACTTTTTCCGACATAACATAGGTACAGCAGATCCCCTTATTGTGTTTAAATGTGCCTTTAGGAGGCCATGCAATTCAATACTCATCTTTAAAACAAAAGCAATTTAGGTCACGAGTGTTCATATTAACAAAATAAATAGTCCTTCTAACAGTACAGATAGATAGCAATAAAAACTGTACCAGATGCACAGAATAAGTTGGAGGAAAAACAAAAACAAATGGAGGAACTTATTCAAGAAGGATCAAGTGTAATATATTATAAAAATAAAAGCGAACTGTATGGAATATGGGGATAAATTCACCAAATTATTTTTTTTAAATCTTCAACATAGAAATGCTACCAAAAAGTGTCAGTCTTGATTCACCAAAATATATTTTGAAAGAGAAAGCAAAGTACTTTAAGCATACAGTGCATTCGGAAAGTATTTAGACCACTTGACTTTTTCCACATTTTGTTACGTTACAGCCTTATTCTAAAATTGATTAAATAGTTTTTTCCCCTCATCAATCTACACACAATACAGCATAATGACAAAGCAAAAACAGGTTTTTAGAAATTGTTGCAAATTTATACAATATAAAAAACGGAAATATGACATTTACGTAAGTATTAAGACCCTTTACTCAGTACTTTGTTGAAGCACCTTTGGCAGCGATTACAGCCTTGAGTCTTCTTGGGTATGACGCTATAAGTCTCCCAGTCCCTGCCGCTGAAAAACATCCCCACAGCAAGATCCTGCCACCACCATACTTCACCGTAGGGATGGTGCCAGGTGTCTTCCAGTCGTGACGCTTGGCATTCAGGCCAAAGAGTTCAATATTGGTTTCAGCAGACCAGAGAATCTTGTTTCTCATGGTCGGAAAGTCCTTCAGGTACCTTTTGACAAACTCCAAGAGGGCTGTCATGTAGGCCTTTTACTGAGGAGTGGCTTCCTTCTGGCCACTCTACCATAAAGGCCTGATTGGTGGAGTGCTGGAGAGATGGTTGTCCTTCTGGAAGGTTCTCCCATCTCCACAGAGGAACTCTGGAGCTCTGTCAGAGTAACCATCGGTTCTTGGTCACCTCCCTGACCTAGGCCCTTCTCCCCCGATTTCTCAGTTTGGTTGGGCGGCCAGCTCTAGGAAGAGTTCCAAACTTCTTCCATTTAAGAATGATGGAGGCCACTGTGTTCTTGGGGACCTTCAATGCTGCAGAAATCTTTTGGTACCCTTCCCCAGATCTGTGCCTCAACACAATCCGGTCTTGGAGCTCTACGGATAATTCCTTCAACCTCATGGCTTGGTTTTTGCTCTGACATACACTGTCAACTGTGGGACATTATATAGACTGGTGTGTGCCTTTCCAAATCATGTCCAACTCAACACACCTACTCATTCAAGGGTTTGTAGAATAATAGTGAAGACATCAAAACTATGAATTAACACATGGAATCATGTAGTAAACAAAAAAGTGTTAAACAAATCAAAATATATTTTACATTTGAGATTCTTCAAATAGCCACCCTTTGCCTTGATGACGGCTTTGCACACTCTTGGCATTCTGTCAACCAGCTTCACCTGGAATGCTTTTCCAACCATCTTGAAGTAGTTCTCACATATGCTTAGCACTTGTTGGCTGCTTTTCCTTCACTCTGCGGTTCGACTCATCCCAAACCATCCCAATTGAGTTGAGGTCGGGGGATTGTGGAGGCCAGGTCATCTGATGCAGCACTCCATCACTCTCCTTCTTGGTAAAATAGCTCTTACACAGCCTGGAGGTGTGTTTGGTCATTGTCCTGTTGAAAAACAAATGATAGTCCCACTAAACCCAAATCAGATGGGATGGCTTATCGCTGCAGAATGCTGTGGTAGCCATGCTGGTTAAGTGTGCCTTGAATTCTAAATAAATCACAGTGTCACCAACAAAGCACCCCTACACCATAACACCTCCTCCTCCACGCTTTACGGTGGGAACTACACATGCAGAGATCATCCGTTCACCCACACCGCGTCTCACAAAGACACAGCGGTTGGAACCAAAAATCTCAAATTTGGACTCCAGACCAAATGACACATTTCCAGCGGTCTAATGTCCATTGCTTGTATTTCTTGGACCAAGCAGGTCTCTTCTTCTTATTGGTGTCCTTAAGTAGTGGTTTCTTTGCAGCAAATCGACCACAAAGGCCTGATTCACACAGTCCCCTCTGAACAGTTGATGTTGAGATGTGTCTGTGACTTCAACTCTGTGAAGCATTTATTTGGGCTGCAATTTCTGACGCTGGTAACTCTAATGAACTTATCCTCTGCAGCATAGGTAACTCTGGGTCTTCCATTCCTGTGGCGGTCCTCATGAGAGCCAGTTTCATCATAGCGCTTGATGGTTTTTGCAACTGCACTTGAAGAAACTTTCAAAGTTCTTGACATTTTCCGTATTGACTGGCCTTCATGTCTTAAAGTAATGATGGACTGTCGTTTCTCTTTGCTTATTTGAGCTGTTCTTGCCATAATATGGACTTGGTCTTTTACCAAATAGGGCTATCTTCTGTATACCCCCACCTTGTCACAACACAACTGATTGACTCAAACGCATTAAGGAGGAAACAAATTCCACAAATTAACTTTTAAGAAGGCACACCTTTTAATTGAAATGCATTCCAGGTGACTACCTCATGAAGCTGGTTGAGAGAATTCCAAGTGTGCAAAGCTGTAATATATTTTTATATGTTTAACACTTTTTGGGTTACTACATGATTCCATATGTGTTCTCATAGTTTTGATGTCTTCACTTTTATTCTACAATGTAACAAATTGTAAAAAATAAAGAAAAACCCTTGAATGAGTAGGTGTGTCAACTTTTGACTATTAGTATATATACACACACACATATATACATATATATATATATATATATATATATATATATATATATATATATATATATATAATATATATATACATATATATATATATATACATACATATATATATAATACATATATATATATATACATATATCTAACATATATAATATACATAGATACTATATAATACATAACCATAAATATATACATACATATGATAATTAGATATATATCCACATATATAATATACATATACATATATATATATATATATATATATATACATAATATATATATATAATACCATATATATATATCTTAATATGATAATATATATAATATATATATATATATAATATACCATATATTATCATAACATACAAGACATACATACATACAAATATATATATATATATATATAATATATATACATACATACATACATACATAACAGTGGGGAGAACAGTATTTGATACCCTGCCGATTTTGGCAGGTTTTCCTAGTTACAAAGCATGTAGAGGTCTGTAATTTTTATCATAGGTACACTTCAACTGTGAGAGACGGAATCTAAAACAAAAATCCAGAAAATCACATTGTATGATTTTTAAGTAATTAATTTGCATTTTATTGCATGACATAAGTATTTGATCACCTACCAACCAGTAAGAATTCTGGCTCTCACCAGACCTGTTTGTTTTTCTTTAAGAAGCCCTCCTGTTCTCCACTCATTACCTGTATTAACTGCACCTGTTTGAACTTGTTACCTGTATAAAAAGACACCTGGCCACACACTCAATCAAACAGACTCCAACCTCTCCACAATGGCCAAGACCAGAGAGCTGTGTAAGGACATCAGGGATAAAATTGTAGACCTGCACAAGGCTGGGATGGGCTACAGGACAATAGGCAAGCAGCTTGGTGAGAAGGCAACAACTGTTGGCGCAATTATTAGAAAATGGAAGAAGTTCAAGATGACGGTCAATCACCCTCGGTCTGGGGCTCCATGCAAGATCTCACCTCGTGGGGCATCAATGATCATGAGGAAGGTGAGGGATCAGCCCAGAACTACACGGCAGGACCTGGTCAATGACCTGAAGAGAGCTGGGACCACAGTCTCAAAGGAAACCATTAGTAAAACACACTACGCCGTCATGGATTAAAATCCTGCAGCGCACGCAAGGTCCCCCTGCTCAAGCCAGCGCATGTCCAGGCCCGTCTGAAGTTTGCCAATGACCATCTGGATGATCCAGAGGAGGAATGGGAGAAGGTCATGTGGTCTGATGAGACAAAAATAGAGCTTTTTGGTCTAAACTCCACTCGCCGTGTTTGGAGGAAGAAGAAGGATGAGTACAACCCCAAAAACACCATCCCAACCGTGAAGCATGGAGGTGGAAACATCATTCTTTGGGGATGCTTTTCTGCAAAGGGGACAGGACGACTGCACCGTATTGAGGGGAGGATGGATGGGGCCATGTATCGCGAGATCTTGGCCAACAACCTCCTTCCCTCAGTAAGAGCATTGAAGATGGGTCGTGGCTGGGTCTTCCAGCATGACAACGACCCGAAACACACCGCCAGGGCAACTAAGGAGTGGCTCCGTAAGAAGCATCTCAAGGTCCTCGAGTGGCCTAGCCAGTCTCCAGACCTGAACCCAATAGAAAATCTTTGGAGGGAGCTGAAAGTCCATATTGCCCAGCGACAGCCCCGAAACCTGAAGGATCTGGAGAAGGTCTGTATGGAGGAGTGGGCCAAAATCCCTGCTGCAGTGTGTGCCAACCTGGTCAAGACCTACAGGAAACGTATGATCTCTGTAATTGCAAACAAAGGTTTCTGTACCAAATATTAAGTTCTACTTTTCTGATGTATCAAATACTTATGTCATGCAATAAAATGCAAATGAATTACAGACCTCTACATGCTTTGTAAGTAGGAAAACCTGCAAAATCAGCAGTGTATCAAATACTTGTTCTCCCCACTGTACACACACATATATATATATATATATATGTGTGTGTGTGTGTGTGTGTGTGTATATATACACATTGGGATGATGCAGACAATTACGTTGATGGAAGCCACAATCTATCTGCAATATTAAAGCAGATCAATCAAAAAAGAAAAGAAAAAAAAACTATACAAACTAACAAAGATGAGAAGATGATTCTAATATAAAAAATAAACATCTTAGAATTCTTAGGTTAATAAGAATGGTGCATCCCTCACTTAGTTCAATCACGACATTTCGTTTCTCCAGATAGCCTACTTTACTTCATAATATAACCTTATATTACAGCATTAAAACAGTTCCGATTGTGGCATAGTAACTTACTGTGGGTAGGCAGGATCCACCATGCGTAGGATGAGCTGAATGACCATACTGTAGAACTGCAGACATCTGCGTAACACGTTCTCGTCCAGAAGACCCGCATCAGCACAGGCTTTGGAGCGTACCAGTTTCTGTCAGGTCCAAAGATCACAAGATAGCGGGTTTCTACTGAATATTGTCCTTCACTCATGTTGTGACGAGTTAAAATGTTTAATTTTCCTGTCCGCAACACTAAATTTCACGATAAAACATGTATGAAACTACACAAAATGGAAGAACATTTGGAAACAAACTATGACGCACTGGAGAAATGTTGCTTTTTCTACTGTTTTTACACTTCAAATTTACCAAAGATTTATCACGTTTGACAAGCAGAACACGAGCAGATGGGAGAGTGGGTAAAGTTCCATAAGGCTGAAAACTGAGGGGAAAAATAACAGAAACGGTGTTAACGAACCTTGAGTTGGGTTTTGCATCTCTTCAGCATCTCTCTGTGTCGGCTGGACAGCGGAGAGTCCTTCCACTGGCTCTCACTATTCTTCAGCTCCTCCACTGTCCTGCCACATCAAACACAACAGGGTCATCTTCAATATGGCACACCATAGCAAAACATTTAGAAACTGGTAACGAAAACAAGCCTTTCTTATTGGACAACTTCAGCTTATCCCTCCCTGTTTCTTTCAATTTTCTTAACGTTTGGCGCTTGTGTGTGTTTCTGTGTGCGGCTGTTTGTGTGTGTGTGTGTACACCTGTTGAGCTCGCGGATGGCTCTCAGCCTGCGGATGTAGCGTCGGCAGCCCGGTAGGATGGACAGGTGGTGGGTGTGCAACGTCAGAAAGAAACACTCTGTGGGGAACTTGGGATCATATAACTTGGAGGGGTCATCTTCTGTCAATAAAAACAATGTGGACAACAATTAGGACAATTTTAGGTAGGTGAATGGCACATCCAGTTAGTCAATTTTGCAGGTAATAATAATTACAAGAAATGCCAATTAGCAGACACTTTATCCAAAGCGACCTACAGTCATGAGTGCATACATTTACATGGCATATATATGATATAGGAAGACATTTTACTCTTCTTAACCCTCCCGTTGTCCTAGGGTCAAAATGACCCGCCACTGTGTTGAACCAACTTTATTAAATTTTTATATTTTTGGGATCATTTGTGAGAAGGAGGCAGTGAGACTTTAAAGAAAGTATCACTGCCTCCTTCTCACAAATGATCCAAAAAATATAAAAATTAAATAAAGTTGGTTCAACACAGTGGCGGGTCATTTTGACCCTAGGACAACGGGAGGGTTAAAGGAACAATATGTAGAAATCGCTCCACCATTGCCTGTTCGCTAAAATTGGAAAATGTTCAGAAAATTCAGTTTGTGACAAAACAAGCACCATCTAGATCGCTGTGAAATGTATTTTCAATAACAAAAAATGTAACTTTCTCCAGCCTCCAGCTAGTAGCCTAGTGTGAGCTTGTTTGAATGGCCATTAACATTACGGTAGATAGTTTGCCAGCTTGTTAATGAAGTTGCACAGCGCCAAAGTTTTGGGACTGTTCTCAGAAATCAGCACGTACACTATATATACAAAAGTATGTGGACACCCCTTCAAATTAGTGGATTCGGTTATTTCAGCCACACCTGTTGCTGACAGGTGTAAAAAATAATAAAGAAAAAAAAGAGCACAAAGCCATGCAATCTCCATCGACAAACATTGGCAGTAGAGTGGCCTTACTGAAGAGCTCAGTGACTTTCAACATGGCACCGTCATAGGATGCCACCAGTTCGTCAAATTTCTGCCCTGCTAGAGCTACCCTGGTAAGTGCTGTTATTGTGAAGTGGAAACATCTAGGAGCAACAACGGCTCAGCCGCAAAATGGTAAGCCACACAAGCTCACAGAATGGGATCACCGAGTGCTGAAGCGTTAAAAAATTGTCTGTCCTCGGTTGAAACACTCAATATCGAGTTCCAAACTGCCTCTGGAAGCAATGTCAGCACAAGAACGGTTCATCGGGAGCTTCATGAAATGGGTTTCCATGGCCAAGCACCCGCACACAAGCCTAAGATCACCATGCGCAATGCCAAGCATCGGCTGGAGTGGTGTAAAGCTTGCTGCCATTGGACTCTGGAGCAGTAGAAACGCGTTCTCTGGAGTGGTGAATCACGCTGCACCATCTGGCAGTCCAACGGACAAATCTGGGTTTGGCGGATGCCAGGAGAACACTACCTGCCCCAATGCATAGTGCTAACTGTAAAGTTAGGTTGAGGAGGAATAATGGTCTGGGGCTGTTTTCATGGTTCAGGCTAGGCCCCTTAGTTCCAGTGAAGGGAAACCTTAACACTACAGCATACAATGACATTCTAGACGATTCTGTGCTTCCAACTTTGTGGCCAAAGTTTGGGGAAGGCCCTTTCCTGTTTCAGCACGACAATGCCCCTGTGCACAAAGCGAGGTCCATGCAGAAATAGTTTGTCGAGATCAGTGTGGAAGAACTTGACTGGCCTACACCTCAACCCCATCAAACACCTTTGGGTTGAATTGGAATGCCGACTGCGAGCCAGGCCTAATCGCCCAACATCAGTGCCCAACCTTCATTAATGCTCTTGTGGCTGAATGGAAGCAAGTCCCCGCAGCAATGTTCCAACATTTAGTGGAAAGCCTTCCCAGAAGAGTGGAGGCTGTTATAACAGCAAAGGGGGGACCAACTCCATATTATTGCCCATGATTTTGGAATGAGATGTTCGACGAGCAGGTGTCCACATACTTTTGGTCATGTAGTGTGTCTGACTGACAGCTGGCACTTTCATGGCCGCGGGAAATAGGGGTGCCGCGAAACCCCTTGATAAATCCAAATTAAATTGGACAAATTTAGTGAACTAGGTCATTATTACTCTGGTCGTTGTGCTTTTCCACTAAATTTGTGAATTACGCCTTTATTACTCTAGCCGACAGCATTGTATGAGCGAAGAAAAACGTTTTCCTCAACTCCCTAGGGTTACACCCAGAAGTTTAGTCTTCTCAACTTGCTGAATCGCCACATTATTCAATAATAGTTCTAAATTAGGTTTAGCATTGAGCAAGTGATTTTCGTTTTTGAGATATTTAGCACCAGCCTATTGCTAGTGGAGCTCTATGTTAAGGGTGTCAGTTATTTATTTGACTGTTGCAGCCGACGCGTATACTGTTGAGTCGTCAGCGTACATAGACACACAGGCTTTATTCAAGGTCAGTGGAAGGTAATTAGTAAAAACAAAAAACAATGTCCCTAGCCTTCTGCCCTGCGTTACACCACACTCAATTTAATTTGCATGTGAGGCTTCCATTAATCAAAACCCTCTGTGTTCTATTACTGAACAAAAATATAAACTTAACATGTAAAGTGTTGGTCCCATGTTTCTTGAGCTGAAATAAAAGATCCCAGCCACAATCAACAGGCTGATCAACTCTATGTGAAGAAGATGTGTCGCGCTGCATTTCGCAAATGGTGGTCACACAAGATATTGACTGATCCACACCCTACCTTTTTTTTCTAAGGTATCTGTGACCAACAGATGCATATCTGTATTCCCAGTCATGTGAAATCCATAGATTAGGGCCTAATGAATTTATTTCAATTGACTGACTTCCTTATATGAACTTTAACTCAGTAAACATTTTGAAATTGTTGCATGTTGTGTTTATACACTGTTCAAAAAAATAAAGGGAACACTTAAACAACACATCCTAGATCTGAATGAATGAAATAATCTTATTAAATACTTTTTTCTTTACATAGTTGAATGTGCTGACAACAAAATCACACAAATTATCAATGGAAATCAAATTTATCAACCCATGGAGGTCTGGATTTGGAGTCACACTCAAGATTAAAGTGGAAAACCACACTACAGGCTGATCCAACTTTGATGTAATGTCCTTAAAACAAGTAAAAATGAGGCTCAGTAGTGTGTGTGGCCTCCACGTGCCTGTATGACCTCCCTACAACGCCTGGGCATGCTCCTGATGAGGTGGCGGATGGTCTCCTGAGGGATCTCCTCCCAGACCTGGACTAAAGCATCCGCCAACTCCTGGACAGTCTGTGGTGGATGGAGCGAGACATGATGTCCCAGATGTGCTCAATTGGATTCAGGTCTGGGGAACAGGCGGGCCAGTCCATAGCATCAATGCCTTCCTCTTGCAGGAACTGCTGACACACTCCAGCCACATGAGGTCTAGCATTGTCTTGCATTAGGAGGAACCCAGGGCCAACCGCACCAGCATATGGTCTCACAAGGGGTCTGAGGATCTCATCTCGGTACCTAATGGCAGTCAGGCTACCTCTGGCGAGCACATGGAGGGCTGTGCGGCCCCCCAAAGAAATGCCACCCCACACCATGACTGACCCACCGCCAAACCGGTCATGCTGGAGGATGTTGCAGGCAGCAGAACGTGTGCTCAGTGTGAACCTGCTTTCATCTGTGAAGAGCACAGGGCGCCAGTGGCGAATTTGCCAATCTTGGTGTTCTCTGGCAAATGCCAAACGTCCTGCACGGTGTTGGGCTGTAAGCACAACCCCCATCTGTGGATGTCGGGCCCTCATACCACCCTCATGGAGTCTGTTTCTGACCGTTTGAGCAGACACATGCACATTTGTGGCCTGCTGGAGGTCATTTTGCAGGGCTCTGGCAGTGCTCCTCCTACTCCTCCTTGCACAAAGGTGGTCCTGCTGCTGGGTTGTTGCCCTCCTACGGCCTCCTCCACGTCTCCTGCTGTACTGGCCTGTCTCCTGGTAGCGCCTCCATGCTCTGGACACTACGCTGACAGACACAGCAAACCTTCTCGCCACAGCTCGCATTGATGTGCCATCCTGGATGAGCTGCACTACCTGAGCCACTTGTGTGGGTTGTAGACTCCGTCTCATGCTACCACTAGAGTGAAAGCACCACCAGCATTCAAAAGTGACCAAAACATCAGCCAGGAAGCATAGGAACTGAGAAGTGGTCTGTGGTCACCACCTGCAGAACCACTTCTTTATTGGGGTTGTCTTGCTAATTGCCTATAATTTCCACCTGTTGTCTATTCCATTTGCACAACAGCATGTGAAATTTATTGTCAATCAGTGTTGCTTCCTAAGTGGACAGTTTGATTTCACAGAAGTGTGATTGACTTGGAGTTACATTGTGTTGTTTAAGTGTTCCCTTTATTTTTTTGAGCAGTGTTTTTTTGTTCAGTGTAGATAGGTCACACTCAACCAGACAGAATTGGCTGAGGTGGAGGTGTTGCCATATTTACAAAGGACAATTTAATTTAATGTCATCACTAAGAGAAACTTTAAAAACTTTAGAGAACAAAGCTTTTTTACACGTTCTTTATTTTAGTGACCTTGATTTTCTCTCAGTTATCTCTGAACCTGATTTAGCTTGAAGCTTTTTCACAAATGTCTATTGTAGATAATCATGACCCCTTCACAACTGAGAGTTAAAGGTAGATTGAATGCCTGGTTCACTCCTGAATTATCTGAAGTAATTCCTAAGAGGCCAGGAACACAGGCTTAGGCCCGAATTGGCAATATTTTAGGCAAATGAGACTGATCAAAAGGGCTAAATCTGATTATGTAACCACTCTTTCTGATGATAAGGGGAACCTGGCTAAATTCTGAAAAACTGTCAATTCTCTAAAGGGTTGCACTTCCTTCTCTCTGCCCCAACAAATTAATTCAGACTCTGGCCCCATTACAGACAAAAATGTCATCATTGATGCATTTAATCATCATTTTATTTCTGCAGGCTATCTTTTTGAACCAGCGTCTGACCCTTCTATCTCTAAGAATGGACTAAATGCTGATTCAGAAATTTTGCAGATTGACTGGTAGTCAAGTTATTGCATTTCGGCAATTCACAGAA